GGCGCCCGGCGAGCCCGCCCCACACGCTCCCGCAGGCTCCAACTTTGTGCGCGCGCCCTCCCGCCCGCACCGCGCGCGCACTCACGCTCGCCTCGCCGGCACCAACCACCTGACACGCTGATGTTATCGGCCGTCGGAAACGTGGGCGCTCTGCCGCTCGCTTCTGAAACCTGCCCCAGGACCGTAGCGCCGGGAGGCCAGCGCCTCCCCCAGCCCTCGCCGTTTGCCCCCGCCGTCTGCCTCCCCCAGCCCGCGAGCGCGGGCCGAAGGGGAGACGGAGGGTCGGGGAGGCGCCGGGTGCACGGGGTGCCCCCCTACCCGCGCCTGCACAGCCGGTGTGCGCCCGAGGGGACCCGCTTCGCCCAGCGGCTCTCTGGAAACAACCCCCAACCCCTGTCCCTTGCCGCCCTGCATTTCAGTCCTGGCCCTGAGGCCCCCTTGGCCCCTCTCGGGCCTCTTTCGGATAGATGAGAGCTCAGAGCTGAGGCGGAGTAAGGAACTAAGACAAAGTTGTGGATGTGCCCTAGGCTGCGCCTTTGGAGGTCTTTTGGTAACAATTTGCAAGACTGCGGGAGACACCTGCCCTGTACCGTGCTGGAGGCGGTGGCGTGGAGGTGCGCTCTGCGGCCGTGATGCGTGTCTGGTGGGAGACAGCTGCCTGGCATCTGTAGGCGAAGGAGGTGTGGGAGGAGGGGAACAGGGGTGGGGAGGAGTGCGGAGAACTTTGGGACAGCAGACCTGGCCAGGAATGGCGGCCTACCCCTGCTTGCAAGTGGTAGTAATGATAGCTAATGTTGATGGAGCGCATTTTGCTAAGTACTTTCTATATATTGCCTCATTTTAATCCATCTCCCCCATATACCAAGAGGTCACTATTTTAAAAATGAGAAAATTAAGGTTTAGAGAATAATATGCCTTCCATGACATAGTAATGGAACAGAGAGAGACAGCAGACAGTAGTAAACAACAGAGAACTAGGACTTGGCTGAGATCTGACTCCCTGTAATCACTGCCGGGCTGTCCTGATAACAGGCCATTATCATTGTCACGTGCCACAACTCCAGCCACAGTAATAGGACTCTTCCCAGCCATGATGTTTGGACCTCAGAGCCTCCTTCGGCAACTTCATTTATATATTGCTTTATATTTATATGCCATCTTGTCCTAAAAATAAACAAATAAGAATTCAAGATAGCTTACAAACATAAGCTACAAAAGTATGTGAAATGTACAGTGAAAAATAAGGTCCTTAAAATGGAGCCAGAAATGAAAGTCATTTTCTAAACCTGCACTCCATAGAGTCCAAAACACTTGCTACAAGTGGGATGAAAAACGTATCTCCTGTATTTCTAGCAGTCAAGTTCAAAAGGGAAGACTTATCTAAAATTCCATTTCTGTTACATGCAAGACAGAAAACAAAAAATAAAAGAAAGAAAATTGCTCAAGAGATCAACTCTTCTTGATACTGAGACCAGAAAGAAATTTCCCTAAAGAATCCCCATGAACCTTGGGGTGATAGAACCAAGTCCCCAGTTACAGCATATATAAAGAAGGGGCAAGTGGATGTTTAATAAATATTAAGTAATGACACTTCCAGAATTACTCTGTATATGCATATGTCTGTATGCAAATAGACATATACCTCTATGTAAATACCTAACTATAAGTAATATATGTCTGTAGATAGATAGGCCATTTGGTGAATGCAGACAATACAAAGCACACATGTAGGCAGTGGCACACTCCTATACACCTGCAGTATGTTATGTGGATAAGTATAGGAATTATTCATTCATTGAAGAAACAAGCCTTGCTGAGTTTTGTAAAGAAAGAGGCCTGATTCTGGCCTGAAAGTTTCCTCCTCTCCAGCCTCCCCAGAAGCTCTGTACTCCACTTACACCTGATTTTGTTTCTCGGCCCACCTGAGCTCTTTGATGAGGCTTTCTGGCTGCTCCTACTTGAGCAATTTGTCTTTTCCAGACATCTAAAAACTTAGAAGTTGGATCCATATCTTTCTTCATCTTCGCTATGCGGTTAGCCCCCCTGGTGTTGTGTGAGGCACCTCTGACCTTAAGAACAAACTTCTTTTCTCTTGCTCTCTCCTCTTACCCTCCTCTTCTGCTTCTGTAACCTCTTTGATGGGCAGTAGTCAATGTCTCTGTAGCAGGTGAGAAAGGTTGGGGACCACTATCTCCCTCTCCCTGCCCCTTGGGTGAGGTCATTCTGTGGGGCTTTCTCTCTGTCATTGTTTTTCTTTTTTAATCAGGTGTTCTTAACTGATGTCCATGGACTTTTTTTTTTTTTTTTTTAAATATATCTTTATTTATTTAGAGAGGGGAAGGGAGAGGGAGGGAGAGGGAGAGATTGAAACATCAATGATGAGAGAGTCATTGATTGGCTGCCTCCTGCACGCCCCGGACTGGGGATCCAGCCCACAACCCAGGCATGTGTCCTGACCGGGAATTGAATCTCAATCCCCTGGATCCTAGGGCGATGCTCAACTGCTGAGCCATGCCTGGCTGGGCCATGAACTTTTATTTGGCTTTTGGTGGGTATTGTGAAGCCTCTGAGACTGAAACACCTGCTTTCATCAGATTTTCTAAATGATTCTTTACTCAAATTAGGTGTTTTTTCTTCCACAACTTCAACAGGACCCACATGACTTTAATGTTTGAATATACAGCCTTGATATCTAATATCCACACCCACATTTCCGGCTGGTCACTTCCTTTAATTATCCCACAGGACTTCCTGCCCATCTTCACAGCCACATGTTGGTCTTGGCCCTCATTATCTCAGAACCTGGACATTTGTAATAACTTCATCACTGCCCCCCCAATAACAGAACCTCCTCTTCTCTGACCCTCCTTTCATATTGTTTCAGATTTTCCTGATCATGTCATGTCTCTGCTTCCAAACTGCCAAGGATTCCCCAGTTGCATACAGAATAAAGCTCAAACTTCTTTTTTTAAAAAGTATAGTTTTTTAAATTATTATTGATTTCAGAGTGAGGAAGGGAGAAGGAGAGAGAAATAGAAACATTAATAATGAGAGAGAGTCATTGATTGGCTGCCTCCCACATGCCCCCTACTGGGGATCGAGCCTGAACTCCAGGCATGTGCCCTGACCTGGAATCAAACGATGACCTCATGGTGCGTAGGGCGACACTCAACCACTGAGCCACACTGGCTGGGCAAGTGCAAACTTCTTAACATTGTGTATCTTCACAGCTGGACCTTACTTGTCTAATCTGACCTCCAGCCATGCCCTCCCAGGCACCTGACCTCTTAGGTGGCACCTTGGTCACTCCTGGTAATTGCCATGTCCTGTGCCCCTGCAAGCCTTGGTGCTTTTGCTTGTGTACTTCCTTCTGCCTGCCATCTCTTTTCACCTGGTAAACACACAAAGGCACAGTTACACCAAATGCATGTCAAACTGGCAAGTCACCCTAGAGGGCACACACAGGGTTGCCTCCCAGGCGCAGAGGTGTGCAGACTCACCTTTCAGAATCTGCCTGATGACTGCTGTGCTCTGAGAGCCTACTGGCTACCACAGCTTCCATTCTGTTGTCATTTAAGATATATTCACTGGGTGCCTACTTAGTGTCAGATGTCCTTATCATTGAGAATCTGGTAGAAAACAAGACAGATAAGATCCTTGTTCACAAGAGTTTACGTATCTTACAAGCAGACAGTAACCAAGTCAATAAATAAAGAAACACTCTATAGTTTTACGCCCTGATTTCTAGGAGCTGCCACTTCAGAGTCAGGTTACCCCTGCCCTCATGGGGACATCAGACGTATCCCAGCTAGGGCCCTCACATGGACCTGTGAGAACAAAGCTGCCACATTTAGGGGCACAGAGCTCCAGAGGAGAGTGGAGAGAGATGGAGAGGGAAAGGAGGGCAGGGTGTGGGCCCCTCCTTTACTCTCCTGCTGAGTGCTGCTCCTATTTCTGAGACAGGAAGAATTAGCCTTGTTATTTTATGATTGTGACTGGCTGCCCCACACAGCCATGCACTGAACACGGCGTTCCTGCTGCTGCTCACCTTGGACCAATGCTAGAGGAACTTCCCATGTGAGAAATGACCCCTTTTGTTCTGTGCCTATAGATTGTGGGCAGGTGGTTGGATGCCTGCTTGTTACTTTGTTCTGGGCATCTTCTAATAGATGCAGCAGCAGGCTGCTCTGGGTCTCTCCATCTGTGGGCCAGCCGTTCTGGAAAGTGTCTGTCTCCTTGAGGTCTCCCCAGGATTCTCCAAAGGTGATTTATGACTGTCCTATAAATTACGTTTTAAGATAGATCATCCTACATATAGGCCTTAAATGTGAATATCCATTCTTGTTTTCAGCTGCTTTGAAGGATGCTGCCTGTCTCTGTGAAGTCCCTTCCCAGAGTTTTATCACAGAGCCCATATTTTTAGTTAGATTGGCCTCAAATTTGATCAAATTTGTTTTGGAATTTTTTTTTTAGGATGCTAACACAACAAACAAAAATACATGTTGCCCAGTTGGCATGGCTCAGTGGTTGAGCATTGACCCATGAACCAGGAGATCACAGATCGATTCCAGGTCAGGGCACATGCCCAGGCTGCAGGCTGGATCCCCAGTAGGGGGCTTGCAGGAGGCAGCTGATCAATGACTCTCTCATCATTGATGTTTCTATCACTCTCCCTCTCCCTTCCTCTCTCTGAAATCAAGAAAAATATATTTTAAAAAAGAAAAAAGAAATATATGTTGTCTCATGTCTTTTACTCCTAGTGGGATGGGAGTCCCTGGAGGGCTTTGAACAGATGAGGGACAAGATCTGACTTCTGCTTTATAGGGTCACTCAGGCTGGGCTGCTGAGTTTCAAAGTGACTCATGAGAAGTAAGGGCAGAAGGCTCTGGGGGAAGTGCCTTTATAATCCCCAACTTGGCTGGTCTACGAGGTTGGTGGCTTTCAAGTTGCTTTGAACATGGCTCCATGGTAAGAAGAGTGAAGTCATATTTTACGCTCTGACTCAGGTGCACATTTACCCCACATGTAGAACTGAAACAGGCTGTGTGGGGCAGTGTCTACCCTTACTGCATGTGCTCCACTGTGATCCTCTGATGTCTTTTTAAATTTTGTTTAATGACATTAAAAAATAAATGCTGGCCAGGACTCACTGAAGTGATCCATTACTGGGTTGGGACAATAGTTTATAAAATACAGCTCTAGGTCGACCTCTCATGATGACAATACATCACCATAGTTACCGCGGGAGATGGAAACCAGGTGGCATTGAGTAGGGGAACATTTTACTTTTCATTGTTTCCCCTTTTGTAATTTTAATTTTGTATTATGTGCACACAACTATTCAATAAATCCTATTTTCAATCATGACTGCAAAAAACTTCCTGCTTTCCTATTCTGACCTGAATGGATTTACAAAACTAGAGGCTGAGGCCAGCAAAAGTGAGCTGCCAGAGATTTTGCTTTGTTCAAATTTATTAAAAAATATAAAACAAGCCCTGGCCAAGTGGCTCAGTTGGTTGGAGTTTCGTCCCATACACCTAAAAGTTTGCAGGTTCAATTCCCGAGCAGGGCACATGCCTAGGTTGTGAGTTTGGCAACCGATAGATGTTTCTCTCACTTCAATGTTTCTCTATTTCTCTCTCTCCTCCTTCCTCTCTCTAAAAACATATCCTTGGGTGAGGAGTTTTAAAAATAATAATAAAAACTTAAAAAATTTAAACAATATTTTTTTTCACAAACATTTGGGAGGAAGAATGGTACAGTGGTTAAATGCTCTGCAGGTAGATTGATTTTGAATTTCAGCCCTAG